CTTTTGTTTATGTTAGCTGATAGGTCCCATATTGTTAAGTAAGTTATATTGCTATTGAGTCTTTCTTCTTTTTCGTATTCGTCCTTGCATGGTTCTTCTCTGTTAATGCCTTCTTTAAACTTCTCTTTTCTAAAACTTGGTGTATGTTTTTTTTTATCTTGCCATTCTTTCTTATAGTCTTTGGGTTCTTCTTTTTCTCTCTTTTTCTTCTCTTTATCTTCTGGTATCATTTTGTACCAATCACTCTCTTTTCTGTTAATTCTTTGTATAGTTCATCTTTGCTATAATTATAGTCAAAGACTACTTCTACCCACAGATTTCCTTTCTTGAATACTTCGTTGATGTCTTTTATATGTGTATTATCCTTTAGTGACCATCTAATAAACTTTATATGTTCTTCTTTTGTTTCTCCAGAGACTTTATATGCTGGTATGTTGGTGATTAGGCTGTTGTTTTGGTTATAATTTTTTCTACTTGGTGCCTATATACTTTGTTCTAGTGCTATTTTTACAATGTTGATTTCTTCTTCTGTTTCTTGCTTCCTTCTTTTCTGTTTTTCTCTTTCCTCTTCTAGTGTGTTTTGTCTTAATTGCTTACCATCCATCTCTATATCCTCTTGTTCGATTATATTTTTTTCCTTCTTGGTTTCTTGTTTCTGAATACTAAGTTTACCTGTCAGTTTGTTATTTCTTTCTGTACTTACTTTACTCTATCCTTCTCTTTGTCACATATTTGTTTCTTCTTGTTCTCCTATAATTCTAATTTCTTCTTCTATATTTCTTTTCTTTCTTGCTTTCTTTTAATACTCTTTTCTTCATTTTCTTTTGTTATCACTTACTATTCTTTGTTTTGGTTATACTGTATTTGTTCTCTTTCTGTTTCTGTTGTTAGGTCTCGGTTTTCTATATTTATATTTAGTTTTTTCTCTGGCTTTTTTTTCTCAGCTTTCTCTAAAATTTCTCTTGTTAGTTGTAAAAATGCCATCTCATTTGGGTCTTGATTTGTGAGCAATATAACAATTTTGTCTTCTCTATTTGGTACTGTATATGTTTTGCTTGCCTCATTGAAAAAAATTTTGTTATATATACTATTCATGACCCAGTATGCTCTTTTTATAAAGAGTGCTTGTAGACTCTTTTTATATTCTACAAAAAGATTTTTGTTTATATTTATGACTTTATTCTTCTAGGATTTTCTATCACATGTTTGTTGTATTTGTTTGTTTGTTGTATTTGTTTGTTTGTTCTACAAGTAGCTTGTTTATTCTATTCTATTCTAAAATCTTGCATCTGTTTGTTTTGTTCCAGCTGTATGTGTTGTTTGTATAATTAAACAGATCTATGTATAGAATCACTAGCAATTTCCCAAGATTTTTTTTTACTAAAATTTCTACAAAAAACTTTGGTTTTCTTCTATAGCTATCTTATTAACACTTGCAGTGCTTTTTGCTTCTAAGCTTATTTGTTACTTTCTTTGTTACTATTACTTTTTCTTAGTGTTGTTGAGAGTGTTATCTATTGCTGTTAGTGCAGAAAGTTGATTTCTTTTTTCCACTAGTTTTGTATCCAAGTGATCGTCAGAGAGAGTTTGTTTTTTTTTTTTTAGTTTCTATTAATCTTATTTCTACTATTTCTTATTATATAACTACTTCTTTTTTTATTAAATTTTTTCTTCATTTAAATTAATAAATATATAAACAAATATGGATTTCATATTGTATTTCATATTTGTATAGTTCCAAACTACACTTACTATAAACTTAACTCATAGTTCTTCTTCTAGTTTACCCTTATCTACTATCTTAATATTACAAATTATTACTAAAATTGATCTTTGAACTATTTAATAGATTAAATATTATACTCTTTTCTTTTATATTATTACTAACACCCAAGTCTTAGCTATTTTTGTAGGTTTAGATTATAGATTATATATTTGAGTTTTTATTCTTTATATATAATTTAAAAGCTAGCTTTTCTTTATAAAAACTTCAATTAAATTTCAATAAAGTTAAAGACATAATCTTATTGTTAATATTAAAAAAAACTTTTTTTATTTTATTAACAATTTTCAACTGTATTTTATAGTATAATAGTTTAAATTTATACTAACTTATAATTTGTTATTTTTAAATTTACAAACTTTTTATTCAACTTCAATTCTATCAAACTTTTTAAATTTATCATATAATTTTTATGTTATACTTTTCTTAATATTATTAAATTTTTTAATATAAGTATTAATTTTTATAAAATTTAGACTTATATAAATAATACTTTTAATAATATAATTGACTTTTTAGTAAAACAATATGTCTTTTTTTGTTTTTAAACTTCTAATATGTAAATGTTTATAATTTTTTTTATATCTTAGAATAGCTTTTTACTAGATATTTTATTAAAAATATTTACAAAACATATATACTAACAATGTAATTTTTATAAAAAAGAACCTATAATTAGGTTTACATTAATTACTATATAGATTAATAATTTATATAATAATATTTTAATCATAATCAACAATTTTTATTTAATTTTATTAGCTTTAAATTTAATTAATCTAAAATTTTCAAAATTTAAAACTCTATTAAATAAATTGCTAACATACTTCTTTTTTTATAATATTTATTTATTTACTTTTATAAATGTTAATTATTATTGAAATTAATCAATTTTAAAAAGAAAAAAATTACTAAAAAAGTAAATAAAAAGATTGTATATAATCAAATAAAATATTAAGAAAAATATAATATAGCAAGTATTTACAGTTTTATTTTAAGTTAGTAATAACAAAAAAGAAAAAATGTAAATGTAATGTCATATTGGATATCTATAGTAATGTAGTAACACAAATATATTGTAAAAATTATGATGCATTAATTCAACATAAATTTATTAAAGATAAAATTATAAATTGGTATTATAAAAAAAAAATTACATTTAAATCTTATTACTTAATTAATTATAGAATTGTTGTAATAATAATTGCTTATATAATTTTGTTATTGTTATTGTTATTGTAATAGTCAATATAAAGGTTATCGTTGTTGATATTGTAAAGTTATTATTGTTAAGCATATTAAAAATTATTAATACTCATATTAATATCCACCTTCTCTAAAATCTGCTCTTTTTTCTTTTATATTTAACGATGATATCATTTAATCCAGTAATTGGAATTTACTGATTTTTATACCATTTGATTCGTCTTAACGAGATGAACTTAACGGTATCTGAATCATTTAATTCTGATTAATGGATCACGTGATATTGACGAAAAACCTTCGTCATAATACCTCATTTCACCTTATAATAATTAATAGAATTCTTTAGTTTATTTCGATTAGAGTTATGTTTATGTTAGGGTTAGATAATAATGACCCTATAGTAAAATTGTTCAAGAAAATTTTTTTGCTAGAGCACAAATCATGATTACGATTTATGTAATCTTCACGTGTCCGGCGAATAACATCTACATCCTGACGCTAATATATGTAAGTCAAAAATGCAATTATTGATACATCAAAAATATTACTTTTTGCATTACCATTAATTTGACGTTTTATGCACCGCTCCATATTGAATGAAATCATATGATATTATATCAAGCTTTGCTGTTATCGTTATAGACATAGATAGCGATAGAGAGATAGAGATAGATCCTAAAAAGGTTTTAGGCATCGACACTGCTGTGATACATTAGTATTTGATTATCGAAAAAGGATGTCGAATATTACATGTTGTTGATCGGATCTTACTTAATTCGAGGTATCTTAACGTTGTATGATGACAAATAAAGTTCTAACGCTAATTGACAATTTTATCAAATTTGTATGCGTAGCAATGAAGAAATCAGATGATTATGAGAAGATCACGATTTAAAATCATTACATGATTAATTTTTTAATATATTAATAACGAAGAAAAAAAATTTAAATTAATATATTTTTCGTTAGTAGATTTTACAAATTAAAAACATTTTTAGAAAGATAAAACTTATAAGCAAATTATTATTATAAAATTTCAAAATCTGATTGGTTGGGCCATTACCATTTTGATTAATAATGCACATTATTAATTATATATAACGATAAGGGTGTAAGTAAATTATAATAACTTTGAGGGAATCCCAACGCGAGGTTAATTAGTATTTTTAATGATTACTAATCATCAGCGGGCTTCAAATACCAATTGATTTACGTTGGACTAACTTCATCTTGGTTCCTCACAATAACTTTGTTTATACTATTATTGGTAATACAATTGATTCGGCACTATTTTTTTCCTTGATGAGGACACCATATATCCATAATTAGTACTAATTAAATATAATATAATTGGCTCAAGCAAACATTTTTGATAAGCTTAAGTTAGTAAAAATTTTAAAGATATTTATCGTTAAATCATACTCGCTTAAAATCTGATTAAAATAAAGTTTCAATAATATAATTCCAAGATAAAAGATGATCAAGTGTTTTTTTTTCTCACAGAGCTTAAGGGGATTGATCATAACTTATTGGCTAATTCCTTTTCTGGATTCGAAGGAATTCTTTAAATATTTAAATATGTACGTACGAACTGAACCTTAATACAATTATCGGTACTTCTAATATCGCTTATGGAAATTAACATATGCATTCCGTTCCAAGACATTCCGATTCGAGCTGTTTCTTGTATCTATAATACAAGTTTGGTACCGATTTAATAAAGACATGAACGTCAGTACAGTCTTAACATTAAAGTTTTACGGTGCTGTATACTACAGATTGACGTGTGTTTTGTGTAATAAAATTTACGTGTAATGAACCACAAATGCTTACTCCTTCCTTATGTCTGTTGACATTTGGCTTAAGGATTCAACTTATAAACCCGTGTGTAACAAATTTAAATGGATGGGACAAAAATCAACCGATAATAATAAACATTAAGCGGTTAGATGCTTGCTATAAAAGAGTATCGTTGTTCTACTTTGATTTAAATTTACTGTTCGAATTAATCATGTCTTCTTCAACAAATAAAAGAGAAATAATACCAGAGACTGTGAAGATTGTTGATGAATTTACACCACTTTTAAACAATAACGAAACTTCTAATCTTCCAATAATAAATAATCCTTGGTATAAAACTCCTTCAGCGTATTGGTTGTTACCTTTATTTTCTGTAAATGCTATTTCATTTGGATTGACAGTTACAACAAAAGTAGAATTTTATATACAAGCTGTTTGTAAAAATTATTATGAATCGAAAGAAAATCTTTCTTCCATAAACATTGATATTATAAATGATGTTGATATATGTAATATTCCGGAAATTCATGCTATTACTTCACAATTGATGATGATATTATCTCTTTGTTTAGCAATACCAGGTAAAATTACATTTCAAGACATTTTTTATTGAACATAAACTTGTGATACAGTAATGCATAAAACTTTCAATTGCCTTAGGAATCTTTGTATTAGTACCATTGGGTGCATTCTCTGATCGTAAAGGACGTCGTTTGGCCCTTCTTATTGCAGGTTCAGGAAAAATACTTGATGTTATTACCATTATTCTAGTTGGAAATTTTATGGAATCGCTTGGACTATGGTTCTTGATAATCGGACAGCTTATGGTTGGATTTTGTGGTGGATTGTCAGCATTATCGGCCGTGATGTATGCATATGGTACTGATTGTACAGTTCCAGAACAAAGGTAATATATCTATCTATGTATTCAGTCTCTATACTATCATTCAATACCTAAACTATATTAATCTTAAGGAGGGTCATATTCGGACTTATTCAAGGTTCATTATTCTTGGGAATCGCTATAGGTCCTATCATTGGTGGAAAAATAGTCGAATACACCAATGACATTCTTTCTACATTCTATGTCTCACTTATAATATCTATTTTGAACCTTCTATTCATTCTTTTTATCCTTCCCGAATCACTTTCTAAAGAAAGGCAACTTGAGAATCAAAAACGTCAGTTGGATAATGTCCAAAAAAATGGTGGTTCTACTATATTTAAGAAAATTTTCAATATATTTACACCATTATCGATTTTCTTATCAGATTTTTCACAAAATAATGAAAGGTTTCAAACTACTGAGAATAAAGATAGGATTCCAGCAATAAATGCGACGAGATATTCATTACTATCAGCCACAGGCATAAGTTTAATGTTTGCAATTGTATTATCTGGTCTTCAGTCTATATTCTTACTTTATATTAGATATAAATTCGATTGGTCATTAGTCGATCAAGGCTATATGTTTGGTGCGATGAGCTTCACAAGAGTTATTACTTTAATGCTTTTATTCCCAATATTTGTAAAGATATTTAAAGAGAGATATAACAATGTAAATAGTCAAAATCTAAAAAAGCAGGAAGATATTGATGGTAATGTAGTGGTTGAGAATGATATGAGAGTTCAAGATGAGAAAAGAATGAATAGAGAGTTGTTATTTGATATTTGGGTTGTTAGATTCGGGCTTGTTATTGATATGATTACTTATGCTTTGTATGCGATAGCAACGAATGGTACATTGTTCATTGCAGGTAATAACATTTGATTTTAAAGGAAAAAAGACGAAATTATCAATTATGAATTGGCCAATTTAAAATAATAAGATATCTTAAATGGTCTTAATTCTAATAATAATAATAATAATATCTTATAAACTTACTAATCACTCAATTGTTTTTCCTATTCAGGAGTTTGCTTGGGTGCTGTAGGCACAGTATCAGTTTCTACTTTAAAATCTATCCAAACAAATTTAGTTCCACCATCACAAACGGGGCAATTACTAGGTGCACTTAGTGTATTGGATTCTATTACAAATGTAGTTGCACCAATAATTTATAATACTTTGTATAGCATTTTGGTTATGAAGAATATGCCACATTTGATTTGGTATGGTATTTCTGGAATGTTTGCAATTGGATATTTATTGTCTTTTGGAATTAGACCTAAAATAAGTAAAAATAAAACCGTTGAAACGGGTAATGTTGAATTTTAAATCAGCATTTAAATGAAAAATTTGTACATTAGAGTTAGGGTATTATATTTAGTATAAATATTCGTTATAAAATAATAAACTGTATACACATGTATTACTTTATAACATAGATTATGGTGAAATGTAAAACTGGACATTTCAAAATGATACAACAAATAACTATTATTATATCGTTATATTTGTTTAATACTGTACTAGACTCTGTACTTTAAAGAATATTTTACAATAGCATATAGGAGATCGGGAACCGATCTCCAGATTACTGACTAAAAGGGTCGGGGTTGAGCTTTAACCCGAAATATTTTCAACCCGACCCGACTTGATCGGTGCACTATAATAATAATACTAATAATAATAATAATACATTAATAATGTAATACGTATAATAATATATATGAAAAGAGAGAATAACCCTATTTTTAATTATCTATTATTTTTATTAGAGGTTGGTATTAGATAGTTTTTAATAGATAGTTAGCTTTTTTGTAACAAATATATTTTTGATCTCTTATACTATTTAATAAAGACTTAGCTTCTAAGTTATATTAAATTTAAATAAATTTTAACGAAATTTTTTTAATATATTTCCTTTAAATATAGTTCTATTTCAATATAATTACTCTTGATATAATCATAAATTAAAAAAAAAAAAAAATTAGATTTTTATTTTACCGAGAATTATAAAATACGTATGAAAAAATATCAATCATAGGAGATTGTAGTGTAGTCACGTCCTATTTCGGAGATACCCGTGGCTATCTTAATTTATTTGCCTACCTTACTACTTTACAGTCTGAGTCTAAGTCTATACTATTTTATTGAATGCCTATCAAATTATGACGCGTTATCGTCTCGAAGTAATATTTATGAAAATATTAATCAATCAATACTCAAACCATGGAGAATAATAGTTATTTAAAAATGATCTAACTACAGATAAGCTTTAAAGAAAAAAATGTATTTAATGTTTAAAATTTTCCAGTCATTGAGAAAAAAAAAATACACACGCATAAACTCTTAACCCATCAAAGAAATTATGTCTACTACAAAAATTCTCATTACTCTCTTCTTTCTTATCTCTATTACTTGCAGTCTCATTACTGCAACAGTAATTCAACCAAAAATTGATGAAGTTTCTTTAGACTCATTACCCGAAACTGGAGATATCTGGGAGATGGACTCAGATCCTTCCCCATCCTTCGATTTTGATTCATCCAACAAAATTTCTGTTGAAGCTGTTAGTGGTGATGTAAGCTCATCTACGCCTACTAACATTCACGACTCGGTTCAAAGCACTATTATTGGACCAAAGTTCACGTCGGGAGAAGTTCAAGGTCAAATACATCGCTTTTGGGCACGACCAATATATATTAATAAATATAAATACCATTGGGGACCTCATATCGTCTATAATCGCAAGGTTTCCTTACATAATACTTTTAAGGGCAACAAATTCTATAAAGTTTGTTATGCTGATGACTGTAGATTTATTGTTATTAAAAGCATAAAACAGTAAAATAGAATATGATAAAACTACTAAGGCCCTTATTATACAAGGTGTATGCTTTCATATTTTCAATTATTTGAATAAATCTTAAAAATCTTTGATTCTTTCAAAAAAAATTATGCATTATTTAGAAATTGAATTCTATTTTAGATTAATTTTTACTTAGCATTATAAAATTATCAGTTAACTATTTGTTGTAAGAACGAGTGAAATAGTAATGGTGCAAAAATTTGACAGTACCGTGACCTCCGAGCTGATCGATGCTCAAAATCGAGTTCTAAAAATCAGTTATTTTGATTTAGTTTCAGTGATCTCAATAGTTTAAATAATTATTACGGAGCGTTTGTCAAATTTAACTAATATTCAGTCCCCAAATTTAAGTTTTGAGGTCCAAAAAAAAAATCGAAATCCCAGTGAGACCATGAAAGATCGTTGTATATGCACCAATCGGATTTCTTTGAATGATCGTCGCCAATAAGATCACTAGATCAGGTGTACCGTGAAAAGATTTGATTGGTGCATATACGACGATCTTTCATGGGTAGCTGCATTTTATCAGTTACCTAATAAGTAATTACTTTGTTCATCTTTACAGTAGACTAAATTGTCGGGAAAAAGGGATATCGGAATTATGGAATCGGAGAAATAGCATTTCAGGAAGGTGTAACAACGTAATACGTAAACAATATGCCTTAACCCATTTTCCCATTTTAACAATTTCATGACCTCAGTAACATTGACAATATTTATTGTCCGGAGCGAAGCGAAGGACTCATACTTCTACGTCCTTTGATAACAAAAATATTGCGTTTTTGATACATTTATATCAAAATAATCAAAAACATAGTTTCAGCATTTTCCGTATGTAATGCCATGTACCTAAATCCGAGTAATGAAAATATAATTGACGCGCTACATACTCAATCAAAGTTTTTGTACCTTAACAATAATTTTATCATTTCTGTACTTTCATTAGATCTTCGTTTAACGTTAAATATTCTTTACTTATTAGATTTAGATCACAAGAATAAACTTACTAATTAATAAACAAACTATTACTAGGCCATTAAAAACTCACTAAACTCAGTCCTTTGAATCACCTTACTAAGTCTGATTCAACTACTTATGAGCAGATATACGTTTTGTTTTAATATTCTTCCAATAATGATAAGAGTTAGACCTGTCTCATTAATTCCCTTAATTTTATACGGAGTTTTTTAAAAACCACGCCCTAATCATTATGCATGAGGCAAGCTTCAGATCGACCAACTCCTGTTCGTTAACTTGACTTTTGAAGTTGAATCGTATCGCACGGAACTTTTAGCATCATTATCTGTTACACTACCTCTCAAGTTAACGTTTAATCTAACAGATGATTATATACCATTCATGTTTCTTAATATTTTCTGCTTTACAAAGTGCAAAATTCAACTTATTTATTTTTAGCTATAAAGTTTTAGGTCCTTCATTAAAGTGTACAGTATACTATGTAAATCAAGACTATGTGATAATTTTTATAATTATTACAAAATAGATTCATGACCCTAATGTTTTGATAGAAATTTTGCAGAGACCAGTATTACGTGTTTACAAACAATATTACAGAGTCATTTCTTTTATTCACTCATTAAAAAATTTGATCTTATTTTATTTTCTTATAAGAAAAGAGCAAGAAAAAAACTTGATTTAGATTTTTTTAAAGGACGAATCTAATTGTAACAACCTGTTACGCACTTATTTGTAACAACTCAATTAGTACAACTAATAAAAATAACAAACTTCGTGTAACCCAAACCCTACTATTGGCTAATCCGGCTAATCCGAGGTTTTTGCGTGTAACAGATTGTTAGAACATTTATTCTAAAAAAAATAGGTTTATAACCTTGTTTGTAGAATCATAATACTAGTCTTTGTAAAATTTTATTCAAAACTAATCCTGTAATAATTATATTACTTATTGGTGTCATCAAAAAAACTTCAATAAATTCTGCAATAATTCTATTACTTATTGGTGTCATCAAAAAATCTTCAATAATTTGTATTATCAGTCAGAAGTAATCGACGATCGGAATAAAGGACCCTTCTGCCAAATATTGTAGATCTCCTTTTTGAACACTTGTTGTATACTAATGTGATGTGTATTAATTGTGATATTTAATTTTTTATGTGTAAAAAAAATTGCATCACGTAGGTACTTTATTCCGCAAAATATGGTAGATTTTTTTATAGATCAGGCCGTGTCTGTCAGGTAAATTGACAGGATCAAACCCAACTTAATAGTATCGGACTGGTCAGTTATTGAATATGTCTATTCGGAGTTCAAATTAGTTTAAATAAAATATACTACCGTAAAAACTTTTAGTTCATGTTCGAAAATAATCACCTAAATACGCCGTAATGATTTTAACGGTATAAATACAAATATATTAGACAAATCCATTTATTTCCACGCTGTCTGAACCTCTTCAGTAAACAAAATAAAAATAAAATGAGCAAATGGGCAATAATTAAAAAGATTTGAAAATCCAAGAAAACCATGGAAGGAAGAAATAAAACTATTTTATTAAGAATAATATTTTGTGAGCACAAACAATATAAATGGGTGAAAATAATTGTATAATAGCCAATACTAGTGCTAGTGCTTGTACCCATTTGTTTTCTCGTCCGCTAGATTTCTATATCCTGATGAATCTACCGAAATTAATCATTACAGTCATCGTCACCACGATTTGAACCAGGTAACAATCATGGCACATGTTAGAGTTTATTTCAGATGATCCAGTGGATATTAAAAGGATACCCATCGGGAGCACTAATTAATGCAATTTATGATATCATATAATTGAATGGCATTAGAATGTAGCAGTCTATATTTTAAAAATATGGGACTTTTTGGATAAAATTTAAACTCAGTTATATAACTTTTTTTTTAGGGGCATACTAAGGAGATACGTAATTGTTGATAAAATTAAGATTTTAGTATTGACTTCACGACTTAAAGTTCCAACACTAAAGTTAACAGAAAAATCTTAACGAGAGACTTTGTTGCATATAAAAACTCTAAAGAAATAAAGCTTTATATTTACACCAACTTATTAATTGAAACCTCTGATAATTGGATAACTTTACTGCTATCCTTTCGCCATAGACAGAGCCCCAGAAGAGCGATTATTGCATAAGTAATTCTTTACCTTTGAAATGGCGATATCGACACATATAATTATTTTATTTAAATTTGATATTTTTCTTTTCCGTTATCAAATTGATCTTAAACTAATGAGATATAGAGATTATATAATTGCCTTAGAAAGACAGTGACTAATTGAAAGATATCATATTGTGACTAACGTAGAGGTCCTAGTTTTAAAATCATGCATACGATTGCTATTCTTTGAATGGTGATCCAGCAGGGGTAATTTAGAAATTGGTTACGTACGTGCCCTGCTGCTATCCTGCGTTATCCACAATCATCCTACTGCCGCTCAACGAATGACAATTGTATGCATGATTCTGAATTAAAATTTTCACCTCTCTATATGAAACAAGGTCTGTAAATCATTTATAGAATGACAGGACAGGCAGGCCAGGTAAAGAACTATTATTAAACATTAAATGAAATCAATATATTTGTGTTATTTAGCTTTTTGAATCAGATCGCTTTCAAGTAAATATTGTATGTAATGATTTATATTATAGTACCACTTTAAACTCAATGAATTTTGCTACACTTATTGTATACACAGCGTTTTCTTACAAAGCTTTTAGTATGATGGAAACAGCAAAGTCGTGTTAAATTATTATTATTCACATTTCTTTTTTTTTTTTTCTTTTTTTTTTTTAAAAAAAAAAAACCCCCCAACAGCTCATTCATAGATTAAGAATTTATCGCTAATAAGAACAGGAAAAGATTAATAATTATATTGATGATAAAAAAAAAAAAACAATTACATACGTGTAAGCATTACAGTGTGGTCCAATATCTGTAGACGCTGCGCTTCTAAGCAAAAAGTGTGCAGGAAGCTTATGTTCCCAATCCCAAGGAACTTCAAATTTTACTACAGCACGTGCTTTATTGTCGTGGTCAAGTTTAATACCGGCCTTCCATAAAACTTTCATGAGTCCATTAGTAGTAAACAATTCACAATCGGTAATATTTCTAATTCGTGACGTATTCCCAGCTGACCACATACAATTGATTGAAGTTCCATTCTTGATTCTTGTTACTTCGTGTTTTGCGTGTTTAGAAGGTGGGTATTCAAATCTATAGTCTATTAAGAAGATGGTGATATTGAATGTTATTGCGAAAAATAATGGTAAAACTAATTAATGAGGTTCTACCTTTGCAAATTTCTTCGATCGCATAAAACTTATCATCGTCAGCACGTTTTATGACTTTGTCTCCGACTATAAGTAATTCCAGATATGAACACTTAATGTAAATCGTTGATAAATTTTGTTATCCATAAATTAAAAATATCATATTTTCTTTCTACCTTGTCCTGCTAAAGTCCTGATCAGAGCGCTGCATACGATTAAAGTCATAAGCGCAATTTTTATACCCAAAGAATACATGTTAATTAATTAATATATTTTAGATGAAAGATATATTTTTTGCCAACAAAAACAAAAATTTCAAGATTTTATAAACAAAACCGAAATTTCCAAGATTTTTATATAACATTATCAATACAAATCTGCATAATACTCGATTGAAGAAATAAAAGAAGTCAAAATCTTAAAATAAGTATAACTCCTTGGCCTTGTGGTCACTCCTGACTTTAAATGATGAATCTGACTGGTTCTTAATTTTTTACGATTCCAATTTACCGCATTTTGTCATTTTGTCACGAAACATACCCCGTTTTTACTTAACAAGATGTCTTTTATAACTACAATTATTGTAGATCGTTATTTTGCAGCAATAACTATCTAATAAAATATAGGTAAATTTTCAAAATTACGCATACGATGGTACTCTTTTAGGACTTGTATAGCGCATGTATATGATTTTGGTGACTACGTATATGGCGGTAGGAAAGTTGTAGAACGAGGGTAACGGTAAATTATAAATAATAATTTGCATTTACTATCATCTTGAAACTATCCTGCCGCTATATACATAGTTATCATAAATCGCCACACTAATCCTGAAAGTGCGACAATTGCGTAATGCCAAATTAGGAATTTCATCGCTGCTGAATATCATTAAAACAAGGAGTAAGCGGTCATCAGGCGACTTAAATTGTGGTTCATGGCTTACTGAGAGTATTATTAAATCACATCACTGCATCTATTGTACAGTGCCGGGAAAATTTATTCGCGATACTAGATTATAAAATTTGTTATAGAAATTATTTTAAATACATTATAAAATAATCGTGAATTATTTTTTTAAATTTTATTTATGATAAATTAATTAACAACATGGGGTGAGTCAATAGAAAAGGGACAAACTTTTTCTAAGTAAAAGTTTTCTTGATTTTAAGCTTAAATATTTAAACAACTATTTTATTAACTTTAATCATTTTTTTTTATTTAAATTCTATATAATTTCAAGACTAAAATAAAATTTTTTTTAGCAAATTTAATTAAATAGTTATTGAGTTATTTTGATTTAAAAATTAAAAATAATTACTAAAAATGATTTGGTTCTTTTCTATTAATTCTTCTTCATATACTATTTATTTAACTTAATTAAAATATGTCAAATCATGGTTAATAAAAATAGGGTAATATCAAATGTATATAATATATATGTTGTTACATATAATGAATTATATAATTTAAATAAACAGTAAAGTAATTAGGATATTTTTTTCTTTTATTATTTATTTTAATTTGCAATTCTAGTTATAAGTTTGGTTTTTTTTTGCTTTAATAAATCTATTTTAAATAGGTCTTTAATATTGTCTTTTTAAGTTTTTTTTTTTGGTGTTAAGGTGACTTTTTTGGTCTTTTGGCTTTTATTAACAACTTTTTTTGGTAATGTGATTTAATAAATCATTATAGAAAAGTGTACAATTGGTTACACATATAAGTTTTCTATATTATCTATTTAAGAAATCCACTTAAGGTTTTTTACCAATTGTTATATCTAACATCTTTGCTTGAGTATTTTACTTTAAGAATAGAGGGTATGTAGATCGTTTTTATATAGTTTTATATAGTATTTTGAAATTTTAATATAAAATTGAAATATACTACTTATAAAACTTTTTTAAATTACAACCAATTTTTATTAAAATTTTACAAAATATAAATAAAATAATT